AATGTGGGTGTAACTGATATTGGAGAAATCTGTGCAAAACATCGATACAAATTCGGAATTTATTACTACCCATCTCGCTTTTGTCAGCATCCCAACTGCATTAACAAATCTGCTTCTTCAGAATCAGCTTCTTTGAATCTGTCACGTTATATTTCAACAAAGCATCGGTGCAAGTTTCCCATAAGTAACTTCATTTATAAATGTTATACTGCTTATTACTGTTTCGGCTTATTCGCTGTTTTAGAAGGAAGTATTTGTTGGACTTGCCATCGTCAAGAGGAAGAAGCGATGAGAATCACAGCGTCCGAATCAGGTGATGTATCGCCAATAGAAGAGGAGCAGCAGGAGGAAATGGTGGTTGTGGAGGAAGCATTAACAAGCTACAAAAAACGTCCGACAGATTTATACAATTTCCGAAATGTTAAGAATCCACATTTTGGTATGTTTCTTCTTTGAAAATCCTTATGTTTATTTTAGCAGAAGATTTAAACTTTAAACTTCCTTTAAAAAATCCACGCAAAAGTTTCGAAAGAAGACTTTGGTTGCTTGCCTAGGAAATGATTTTACGTGAGCGCTGCACATCAACTTATTAAATCTAAATTTCTATTTTGCATGAACGGTGTCGAAATTTATTTAGTAACTCCCTCCCCTTTTAGCTCAACTTCGAGTGGAATGAATTGAGAGTGCCAAATAACAGGTGCTACCGAGATTTCGCACTTGATACACAAACCTTCCTTTGAAGGAGTGTTCATTTACGTTTATAGCACTGTCCATGCCAAACAGAAATGTTTTTTTCTCGCTAGCATTGCTAAATTACTTATTCTTATTTCCATTTAGATAATCATGAACTAAACTAGTCATTTTCTGATCTCAGTACCACCACCAGTCAACAAAGTCGCGGGCATGTATGGGAAGAAGAACTGTCCTCATCTCAAAAAGCAAACGTAAATGAAATCCTTCGTCAAATAAATCCGTCGATAAATCCCATCGTGTATCAAGTTAAAAACTCTCCGTTTTCTACCAGTAAAAGACAACAAAATATGTTAAAACAATCTCTTCTATCTATTCTAACCGAATGCAGTTCATTTTTTGCTAAAGCTTATTGTCCTGGTCATTTCAAAGAACTATTAGATTTATGTGAAATTCCGACGTTTCTTCGTAAAGAATATGATAAATTTTCGAACGATGATAAAATATTAGAGTCGATAAAAGAAATTTATGGTAATAGCACTGACAGTCGATTAAAACTTCAGTTATTATCTATCGTCGTAAAGAAAAATTACTCGTCTACCTATATTAAATCTGCATTCAACTGTACTGATTATATGATTACTCAAGCAATACAACATGGGTTAAACAACGGTTCCGGTTCTATTATACCGCAACAACATTTTCATCGTAGTTGAGTCTCGTTTAACAGAATTAAACATTTTATGGATTTTCTATTCGATCACGATTTCGTACAAGACGTTGCGTATGGCACCACAAAAATTCGAACAATGAATGAAACGTTCACAATTCCACTAGTCGTTAAAAAATGCATAAACTCTCATATCGTCTATGCCTACGATGAATACTGTCAACAAATTCCGTTCGAACATCTATCAAACAATTCATTATATCGTGTATTAAACGAATGTAAAATGTCTCAACGAACATCGCTTGCTGGTCTTGATGATTATACTGCAGATGGAGCAGAAAGTTTTGATGTATTAGAAAATCTCGTCTCATCATTACCAATTACAAAGTCCGAACAGCAACAAATAATAACGCAATTACATAATGCCAAAAGATATTTAAAAATCGGATTTTCCTTGAATTTATCGTTACAGTCGAATGTTTCTTCGCATTGTGTCGACTTTGCTCTTTCCGATTCTAATCCGAAAAGCGATTTTTATATTAACTGCAATCATCACCACAATAATGACTGTGAAAACTGTGAAAACTTAGTTGCAACACTCACTCAAATAACAGAACTAATTCGAACGTCTAGTAATCCAAAAAAAGATGAATGGGAATACGATTGTACTGCTAGTATTAACAAAATTTATGAATGGCAGAAACACCTCGTTCGTCATTTTGTTCAATCAAAATCAAAAAACGATATTTTGAACAATCTTAAGCCTGACGCAGCATTTTGGCTTAGAGATTGGAGCATGAAGATATTACCCATGGAGTATCGTGAGAAAGCTAGTAGTTGGTTCGGTAAAAGAGGAATGTCACAAGAAGTTGATGTTTTTTGGACACCATCTGGAAAAACAACCAGTGATGGTCAACAAATTCTACAAAAATATGTTTATGTAACGATGCTTGATCAATCCAGTCAAGATATGCATGCCGTGGGAGCGGTGGCTGATCAGGTCCTGAGGCAATTTCATATTGATGCTCCGCAAGTGAAAAATATTTTCTTAAGAAATGACAACGCAACATGTTACTCAGGTGGTGCACAAATATATCTTACAAAATACATCTGTCAACAAAACGGCTTTACATTGAAACGTATCGATTTTAATGAAGCTGGTAAAGGAAAAGATCAATGCGATAGAGAAAGTGCATGCACAAAAACACATCGTGATTATTACGTATCTTCCGGAAACAATGTTACTACTGCTCTTCAAATGAAACAAGCTGCTGAATCGAATGGAGGTGTCAAAGACACAAAAGTTGCAGTTGTCAATATCGACGAGAACAGTAAGAATAGTTTTACTTGCGAACGTCTGGGCCTAGGTCATTGTTGAGGAAACAACTGTTTTACCTGTTAGGATGCCTAATATAAATGTTAAAAAAGCTATATAGCTCCAAGGATGTCTCTTCCTGACATGATAAAAAAATAAAGCTATCGGGGTCGATTTATCCAGCTGAGAGATCATCAAATTTAGAAACTTTTTACGTTTCTGTTTGAACATTTAAAAAAAGCTTTAGGCTATCAGTTGAGAAAGATACAGTGGCAAAGTGGAAGATTTAATGGAAAAGTACTGCAAACTAATCATACAAAATCGGTTTTCTTTTAGAAAAGTCACTAAAATTGGTTAAATTAAAAGACTCGACTCAATATCATAGTTATGAATTTGGTAATAACAATGTACGAGCATGGAAACAATATGCAACTGGCTCTGGTCGTCTTCTAAAATTACCAACATTCGAAGAATTACAATTCAAGTCAGGATTGACAGTTATCAGTCAGTTTCCTCCGCTTTTCTCTCAAGGAACAAAATTGAATCCTGCAAAACAATCATCTCAACAAAGAAAACCATCATCAAAAAAATCGTCAGTTTTATTCTGCTCAGATTTACATTGTGTTTTAACATTTGCTGATACCAAAGAACTTGAACAACATATAAAAGTCAACCAACATGAATATTTCCAAGAAAATGCTGAGGTGCAAAGTCTTCCGATTATAGAAAAAGCAAAGATTTATTTTATTGATCATCTTAAAGGTGCTACCAATATCATTAATTCAACTACACATTCTACTACATCGTCTTCCACATCATCGGTAACGAAAAAGTCTCACTCTAATTCTATTTGGATTGCTCGAGGTTGGGCGCAAAGAAAACGGTCAATAAGAATTTCGTTATCGATACAACAAACCAAGTTCTTAGACCAATTGTACGAACGTGGCGAAAAAACAAAAAAGAAAGTCTCTCCAGCTGCAGCAGCAGACTTAATGCGAACAGAAATCGATAATAAGAATAACAAACTATTTCGTCCTCATCAATATTTGAATAAAAAACAAATTGCAAATTATTTTTCGTCGAAAAAAAGAGAACCATTTCAATATCCATCAAGTGCAGTTGATGAAGTAAGTATAAGTTCTACTAACAAGCTGCTTTAAAAATACTGTCTAATTTTTATAGGAGAATGATGACGATGACGAAGATGAAGAAGCTGCTCAACGTCAACAGCAGCAGTTAGATGATGATGAACCAGTTGTGACCGCTAAAGCATCATACTATCGAACAAGAACCG